TAAAAATTTTTAACGCATCATCGCATTTGATCAGCTGATAGCACTGTTTGCGGCACCTAAAAACCCGACCTGTAACCAAAATTTTACCAGAAGTAGTCCTAAAACTGAAATGTGGGCAACCGAGTGTTCTCGGAAAGCAAATGTAATAATGTTTCTTGCAACGAATCTTCCAAGAAAAACAAACATTCTTCTTGCTTTTCTTCTTGCAAAATTCTCTAATTTTTTGCATTCATTTTGCAAGATTCTAGCAAAATTTGCATTTGATATGCCAGAAATAACCTAGATCTTGTTTTATACTCCAAAAAAACAATGTTTTTTTTTGCTATTTTTACGTCTGCTAAGCTAGCATAATTTTGCAAAAATCTAACAGAGGGGTATTATTGTTTCAATTTTTCAATGAGGCAAAGGAAAAACAAGAAATTTAATCTAATGATTTCGAAAACAGTGTTCTAAGAGATAAGTACATTTTCGAAAAAAAATTTTCAAAGGTGGCAAATTATAATATTTTTAACTTCTTAAAATAGGTAGGCTGCAGCAAAATTTGAAAAATTTAATTTTGCAAGTGATGAGAACTTTGTAAAAAAAAACATGTAAGCAATAAACTATACGCAAAAACTATTGCAGCTTCAGATGTTTACTCAGTTTCAAGTTATTAGTGTAACGGGTGGTTTTACGAGGTTGAGTATGAAGTCCAAATTTGTTTGTCGTGGCCTTATTAGTCTGTATGTAAATTTTCATAACAATCGGACAATGTGGTCAACAAATTTTTATGTAAAAACTTGCAGGTGGGGGGAAAAGGAAAAAGAGCCGACCCGACTTTTCGTAAATATTTGTGTGAAAACTTTGTTTACCCAAAACACTACAATTAGTTTTTTTCAGATTTAATTTTTTTTCTTTTATATATACTTTTTACAGTTCACACCTGCGTTATTTTAAACTAAGTTGTCCATTCTCTTCGTTTGGTCAGTTGGAAAATGTGAGACTGCTAGTAAGACTATTATTATCCAAAAAACTTCTATTGTGCAATTGCCAACTTTTGTCACAATTGCAGCCTTTATCGCAAAAATTATGGAAAAAATCAAACCAAAAAAGAAAATGGAAAAGTCGGTCCAATTTTTGGGCTCTTTTTCCTTTCCCCCCACCTTAAGATCATTTATCCACGAGGGATAGGACCAACATACGAGCTGTACAGCTCATCACGACGAACCGCTGTTGTGCCCCTGCTTAAAAACTGCATGCAATTTTTTTGGTTATTTTTCTGGGCTGGGTAATGTTGCCTCACCCTCAAGCAACGAGCACGGATCATGGTGGGCCTCGAACATCCGACCTTTCAATTGAGAGGCCGAGACGCAACCACTTCACCACTGCTCCCCACATAAGGATCGATTTTATGATGTAAAGCGTGGTTTTACAGGGTTGATTATGAAGACCAAATATGTTTGTCTTGTCCTCATCATTATGTATGCCAAATTTTGTAGCAGTCCGACAATTTGAACCGAAAATTACTCTAAAAATTTTGCAGGTGGGGGAAAAGGAAAAAGAGCCAATTTTTGTTATGTTTCTTTTTTAATTTTTTTTCTGTTTTTTTTTTAATTTTCTTAATATTTTCTTATTATACTAAAGCTCTGGGAAAGATTTAAGACTTTTAAATAGCAAAAAATACAATGAATTATTTGAAATTGGAAGGTTGCTTTAACAGATTATCTAAATTCGTCTGAAAAACATATCCTGGTCTTTTTTCCTGCCACATTGGGAAAAAAAAACTTAATAAATCTGAAGTTTTTTTCTATAACCCAAACTCTGGCTAAAAATTTTTAACGCATCATCGCATTTGATCAGCTGATAGCACTGTTTGCGGCACCTAAAAACCCGACCTGTAACCAAAATTTTACCAGAAGTAGTCCTAAAAACTGAAATGTGGGCAACCGAGTGTTCTCGGAAAGCAAATGTAATAATGTTTCTTGCAACGAATCTTCCAAGAAAAACAAACATTCTTCTTGCTTTTCTTCTTGCAAAATTCTCTAATTTTTTGCATTCATTTTGCAAGATTCTAGCAAAATGTGCATTTGATATGCCGGAAATAACCTAGATCTTGTTTTATACTCCAAAAAAACAATGTTTTTTTTGCTATTTTTACGTCTGCTAAGCTAGCATAATTTTGCAAAAATCTAACAGAGGGGTATTATTGTTTCAATTTTTCAATGAGGCAAAGGAAAAACAAGAAATTTAATCTAATGATTTCGAAAACAGTGTTCTAAAAGATAAGTACATTTTCGAAAAAAAATTTTCAAAGGTGGCAAATTATAATATTTTTAACTTCTTAAAATAGGTAGGCTGCAGCAAAATTTGAAAAATTTAATTTTGCAAGTGATGAGAACTTTGTAAAAAAAAACATGTAAGCAATAAACTATACGCAAAAAACTATTGCAGCTTCAGATGTTTGCTCAGTTTCAAGTTATTAGTGTAACGGGTGGTTTTACGAGGTTGAGTATGAAGTCCAAATTTGTTTGTCGTGACCTTATTAGTCTGTATGTAAATTTTCATAACAATCGGACAATGTGGTCAACAAATTTTTATGTAAAAACTTGCAGGTGGGGGAAAAAGGAAAATGAGCCGATCCGATTTTTCGTAAATAATTGTGTGAAAACTTTGTTTACCCAAAACACTCGAATTAGTCTTTTTCAGATTTAATTTTTTTTCTTTTATATATACTTTTTTACAGTTCACACCTGCGTTATTTTAAACTAAGTTGTCCATTTTCTTCGTTTGGTCAGTTAGAAAATGTGAGACTGCTAGTAAGACTATTATTATCCAAAAAACTTCTATTGTGCAATTGGCAACTTTTGTCACAATTGCAGCCTTTATTGCAAAAATTATGGAAAAAAATCAAACCAAAAAAGAAAATGGAAAAGTCGGTCCAATTTTTGGGCTCTTTTTCCTTTTCCCCCCACCTTAAGATCATTTATCCACGAGGGATAGGACCAACATACGAGCTGTACAGCTCATCACGGCGAACCGCTGTTGTGCCCCTGCTTAAAAACTACATGCAATTTTTTTGGTTATTTTTCTGGGCTGGATTTTATGGTGTAACGCGTGGTTTTACAAGGTTGATTATGAAGACCAAATATATTTGTCATGTCCTAATCAGTCCGTATGCCAAATTTTGTAGCAGTCCGACAATTTGAACAGAAAATGACTCTAAAAATTTTGCAGGTGGGGGAAAAGGAAAAAGAGCCAATTTTTGTTATGTTTCTTTTTCAATTTTTTTCTGTTTTTTTTTTATAGTTTTCTTAATATTTTCTTTTTATACTAAAGCTCTGGGAAAGATATAAGACTTTTAAATAGCAAAAAATACAATGAATTATTTGGAGTTGGAAAGTTGCTTTAATAGATTATCTAAATTCGTCTGAAAAACATATCCTGGTCTTTTTTCCTGCCACATTGGGAAAAAAACTTAATAAATCTGAAGTTTTTTTCTATAACCCAAACTCTGGCTAAAAATTTTTAACACATCACCGCACTTGATCAGCTGATAGCACTGTTTGCGGCACCTAAAAACCCGACCTGTAACCAAAATTTTACCGGAAGTAGTCCTAAAAACTGAAATGTGGGCAACCGAGTGTTCTCGGAAAGCAAATGTAATAATGTTTCTTGCAACGAATCTTCCAAGAAAAACAAACATTCTTCTGGCTTTTCCTCAGCAAAATTCTTTAACTTTTTGCAGTCATTTTGCAAGATTCTAGCAAAATTTGCATTCGATATGCCAGAAATAAGCTAGATCTTGTTTTATACTCCAAAAAACTATGTTTTTTTAAGCTATTTTTACGTCTGCTAAGCTAGCATATTTCTGCAAAAATCTAACAGAGGGGTATTATTGTTTCAATTTTCAATGAGGCAAAGGAAAAACAAGAAATTTGCTTTAATGATTTCGAAAACAGTGTTCTAAAAGATAAGTACATTTTCGAAAAAAAATTTCAAAGTTGGCAAATTATAATATTTTTAACTTCTTAAAATAGGTAGGTTGCAGCAAAATTTGAAAAATTTAATTTTGCAAGTGATGAGAACTTTGTAAAAAAATCCTGTTAATAATAAACTATACGCAAAAAAATATTGCAGCTTCAGATGTTTGCTCAAAATAAACATGTTTTAAATTGTCAGTGATTTTCCCTAATGGCACATGTTATGAACTATTAGTTAAAACCTTTTAAAATAGAATAAATCGATTTTGCAAAATTTTTCAAAAAAAGGTAGGGTAGATCAAGTTCGAAAAACCTTTCATAATAGGTAGATCAAAGTCATAATATGATGTTGTACCGGTAATCAGATTTTCTTAACCGCTAATTATTTTTCATACAAAAGATTATACGCAAAAAAGAGAACTTGCAAAAACAGACGTTTGCGCGAAAAGCATAACGTGTAAATCACCAGACAAAACTTTACGTGGTTAACGGAATGCAAATGTAAGAACTTTGCAAGAGCCTTTCAAGATTTACATTCTCAACACGACCAATGCGAAAAAGTAAGAGTCTCAGTCCATAGAGGTTCCAGTTGATAAGTTTTTGTTTTATGTAGAGAAAACTTTCTACACCTGAGAAAATTTCTTATTCAAGTCAAATTTCGATTTTCAGTCCAAGTGAGCTAGGGAAGTATTCTAGGATTTAAAAAGTTCTTGATGCCAGCAAATTTTTTTGTATTCAGAATTCAATCGCTCATAGATTCGATTAAAAAATAGCTCCAAGCCTACCAGCAGAGTTACAAGTTATGCTGGCTCCCAGGGCCTCAAAATTTTCAAAACTTGCACAATTTTTGTATCTAAAAGTGCAAGTGATTTTGTAAATCTAGTTTTAGCAAACAATAATTTTTATTATTTGACTCATTTAAATATAGTATGTAATAATTTCATCCTCAGAAAAAATTTTTCTTGTCATTTCATCGAATTTCTCTTCATATCCATCCGGGAACTCTTTTTTCCACCTTTCAATCTCTCCTTTGTTGATTACTCCTAGGCCTTTAAAATTTCTCTCATTTTCTAATCTATCAAACATGGCTTCCACTGATGTGAGCAACTTCAGTTTTTCAATTTCATGTCTGGCCAATGCTTCTCGGCCAACGAATGAGGCAAGCCTCTGGACTTCCTCTTCGAAGTTTTGATGCAGCTCTTCGTAATGGATTAGAAGGTTGTTCTCCGGCAACTTTCTAAAACCAAAAAAAATTTCATATGAAAAAAGTCGAATCATCGAAAATGAGACGGTTGTGACACGATCCCAAGGATTTTTCTTTAGAAAGCATAAAATTTTGAGAAAATTTAGCTCAACGACAAAACTCCAAAGATTTGTCATCGGGCGTTTTTTTCTCAAAAATTCGAGCAATATAAAGAAACCGTCTGGTGATTGAGGTAGGTAACATATTAGAGACAACTTCGGTGCGATTCCAGATGCAAAGAAAAAGTTGTTCCAAGTTCAAGAAAAACTCGATTTGAATTTGTTGTTTCTTACTATAATAGAATGAAGGCATGAAAACGCATGAAAATGAGTTACGGCGAATTTCATGCCTTTCTCAGAGAGATAAAAATTCCAAATGTTTTCAATGAAGCTACCTGCAATGTTTAAGCCAGTGCCTTGTCCAATTCCACCAGCTTCCATAATTGACCTCGCCTGTTAGAAACCGATCCAAGAAGTCGCTGAGCTTTGATGACTTCAAATACGGCGTCAACGCCGGATTATTCTGGTAAAAGTTGAAGTAACTCAAAGCGGTCGCTTTTGGGTTCCGAGTCACAATTATATTTTTTCTCCTATGGGTGAAAATTTCCTGGGGAGCCAAATGAATAGGCAAATGGTTTTTCATCATTCGAGGGTTCCTCGAAATTTGATTGGCCAATTTCAAACCGCCGACAACTTCTAGTTCCAAATAAGGAAACTCTTTGTAAAGTGTAAAGTTTTCATCTTGAAGAGTCTCAGTTCCGTATAACATTGCAATAAGTAAATTTTGAGTCCAAGTTGTGCCCGATCTAGGGTAAGTTGTTAGATAGATGTCACCCTGACGGCCTTGCAAATTTTTCGTTTCGAAGATCAATTTTTCAGTGTAGCCCCCTTGTAGAAGTATGCCTTCAACAACGATCAAATCTTGATGCAGAGTACTCATAGTTAAAGAGTTTGTAGCTTAGATGAATTTTTACTGTGATGGAATTCAGACAGTTTGGATGTTTAGTTGAATTAAATGCTGATCAGGGGCCCGATATTTTACCAGACCGACTTTTTACCAGGCCACAATGCAATAACTCAATTAAGATACAATTAAATTTGTGGAACACTGGAAAAAAAGCGGTTAACAAAACTGAAAAACCGTGAATTTATTGTCTTTTACCAGACTAAACGGCGTCATTACATCTGAAAATCAAATTGGTAAATCGAATCTTGTATGTTATAACTTTTCTTGTAAAAGGTCGGTCTGGTAAAAGGCCGGTCCCCAGCTGATCATGTTTTATCTCCACAATTAACATAGACTTTAACATAAGCGAACTATTTATCAAAGCTTTAGCTATTGATTTTGTAGTTAATGCCAAATAGTTGACAATATCTTTTCGTGCAACGAACCTGAACTAAAATACTTCACCTAAAACTGCTCATTTTCATCGGTTTTCATCTTATTACTAATTTTCACAGGTAAAATTTTTTACGAAAAACTAATCGACCTAAAATGCAAAAGTTTTGTTTGACTAAATTGCTCAAGGTTACCAGTTTTAGCAACAATTTAGTAACTATTACTAACTATTAGTAACTACTAAAAACAACGGGGCAGTACAACAGTGCCGAAGTACAACAGTGCCGAAAATGAAAACTTTGTTCAGCAGTGCCGAAAAAGAAAATTTTGTTCAACAGTGCCGAAAATTTGAATAAATTTTAACATATTAAATGCGGCAATCAAAAATTAAACAGCGATCGTTTACAATCTTAAGTAAAATTTTAAGATTTTGAGCAAGAAAATTTGCAATTTAGACGTTTTGGACGCCAAAATAGTTAGTTAATTTGCAGTTGCAGACATATTGGTGCCAAAATTGGAGTGATTTTCTTTGATAATTAGCGTCAGTAATTTCCCGCTCTTTAGAAAATGCGTGTAAATTATTTTGAAATTTCCCCGCCTTTTTCGGCACTGTTGTACTTCGGCACTGTTGAACGCCCGAAAACAACCAATTTCACGGTTTCAAGGTCAGAATAGTTTCAGAAATTTGGGACGTTTTCCGATAAATTTGTAATAGTTAGTGCCAAACTGTTGGCAATATCGGTGACTTTGACCAATTTCATCGATCAAAAACTACAACTTTTAGGTTAATTAGTTTTTTGGAATAAGAGCTATAATCATCGTGATCCGAATTAAGAGTACAGTGTGTATACAGTGATGATTTAAATTATCCGGACACAACGAAAAACATTCGAAATTTCAAACGTCTTTTTCTTCAAATTGGGTTAAGATTAGACAAGTAATGAAGAGAACGAAAATTGCTTAGAACTTCACCAGAATTAAGAATGTTCATTTTTTTCTCCAAAGTTCACAACTAAAACTTTACCGCAATAATGGGTCACTCGGGCTATTTTTATTGTTTAATATATACAAAAATTACACTGAAACTACAACCTAACAAAGTTTTGATAAGTAAATTTTCAAAAATTTGCGACAGCGTTTGAAATTTGTATTTAGGCAAATATTTTGATTTTTATGTAATAAAAATGATGTTTTTTAAGTATTAACCAAATTTATATTCTCTTATGATACAGCTTTTTGGAAATTAACCCTTCTAGAACTTTGTTAGACTGTGTAAGAGGCTTCTTTTGATATAAGTCTGTCATCAGTTAACTTGCTAGTTTCAGCGTAGTGCTTGGTTAATTAAAGAAATCCAAAGTCACCCACTTTTGGGGTAAAATTTTGGTTGAGAACTTAGGAGAAAAAAAACCATATGAATTTTGTTGAAATTCTAAGTAACTTTTGTTTTGGTTTAGTTCATTTTTTGTCTAGTCTTAACCCAATTTGAAAAAACCTGTTTAAATTTCAAGTTTCATTAGTTTTGTCCGGATAATTCAAATCAGTGCTGTAGCTTTTGCCATATTGTGAGCAATATCGGTGACCTTGGGCAATTTATTGGTCAAAAACTGAAGCATTTCTGGTTAATTAAACTTTTTGGACACATTCTTAAGCGTGGAAAGCAGTGAAAAAATAATTGTCAAAAGGAGCAAACTAAGGTTAATTATTTCGCTCAGATTCGTTGACCGGGATCTACTTAACCACCGCCCTCCCATTGGTATCTACTAAAGAACTGCCACCTCTAATAAATTAGCACTAAAGCGTTGTTTTTAAATGCCGAATTTGGCTGCAATATGATTGATCGAAAGTAATCTACAATGATTAAGTACATCCGTTGACCGAAAAGATATTGCCGATAATTCAGCGTTAACTATGGAAAAATTTTCGACCATTTTCGACAAAAAGGGACGTAATCGGCTGCATTTGAACAAAAACACACTAAGCCGCTATTCGGTGAAAAAATTTTTGGTCTGCAATAATTGGTCTCAATTTAGCTAACCTAGTTCATGCGAGAGAAGATGTGACCCAAAACTTAGTCTTATGCTAGGGTTATTTTGACGCTACACCACTTTTTTTGACTGATTAATTCTTTTGAACTTATGAATTTACGAAAATAGAAGCTATAAGTTATAAGTTATAGCAATGAATAGTGGTGAAAATTTAATCGGCTGTTCATGGCTGCTCTTGAAAAAACACTTATCATTAAATTCCTTGTATAGAAAAATGTTATTCATAAGATTGGATTGATAGAAAGAATAATAGATCGTTTAATGGCCAAATGCTAGTCATGCTATTTTTACAATTTTTTAACTTATTTTCAATTGTCTGGAGTAGTTGTATGTCATGACGGGAAAGTGATGACATTGAGATTTACGATCAGGGCTTCTTGTCAAAGGTATTTTATTCCTAAATGTCTAAAAAAGGGCAACTTGAGAAGCCATTTGAAAAAGTTGACCTCGCGTGGATACTTGAGTACTTCACACCACGAGGTGATCGTCACTAGGTCAAGTGCCAGGGTAGTAGCGCGCATGAGCTCAAAACGGCCTCAAGTACATTAACGAGACCAGTAGCGAACCTTGCACTCCTATCTCTAAAAAAGTTGAAGTGAGGCTAGCCTCAATGATCATATTAAAGCATGGTTCTCGTCCCCCCTATTTGAAACTAAAATTTGGGGTGCCCAAAAGATTATGATGATCACCATTTTCTGCCACCATATCTAATATGATTCTGATCTAAAAATCGTAAATTTTTTACCCGAATTATTTGATATGCGTTATCGCTCCGGCAATTTGAAAAATGAGGTAGAACGTTTCGATCTTTTTTTTTGTTTTCCACGACAAATCAGGTACCATAAACAAGTCGTGATTCGATTAAACTTGAAAAATTTGCGAGAAAAACTGGTTTCAAAATTTCTATTTTTTGTTTTAAATCGAGCAAAGTAAGCAAGCGAGATTCCTTTCAATAGCCTAATTATGCCTAACTCATGCCTCAAATACTTAGTTTTAAGCAAAAAAAAACTGATTTTTTAATTTTTTAACTCTCATATTGTGAGCTGAAAATAAAATATTATTTCTTCGTTCAATTATTTGCTTTTCTAGTCCATTTTCTACAAAAACTTTATCCAATTTCCCTAAATCAATATGACTGTCGAATATGACTAAACTATAGTTTTACGCCAGGTCTTTTCATCAGACGACGCTTAAAAAACTACAACAATTTGAACAAAAAAAAGAAACTTTTTTAATTGTAATTTTCGAAAGATTATGGTCGGAACATTCTATGCTTCTTGCCCAGTAACCGGGCGGCTATCCTTGTTGACTTATAATTTCGACTCAACCAGACTAAATTGGTAATCAAAGCTCTAAAATCTGACCTCTTGGCATATTGGTCGATCCAACATCATTTTTTGAGTGCCCTTCATTGGTATTTGGTCTGATGTGTTTTTTGGAAAATATGATGTACTTTCTCCAAATTTGATGTTTTAAAGAAGCCTGATGTTGTTTTTGGCAAAAAGATTGATACCAATTTTTAATTTTCCGTTTTGCATGCTAAATTGAAAAAATACAGTTTGTTATACAACTCCATAAACTAAGTGTATGAAAAAACAAAAGTCATTTAAA